CGGCACCATCGATTCGAGGTACTTCTATTTACTGTGCAGGCCCCTAGCAAAATTAAGTCACCTTCGTACTCTACCATCGACCATGCCAACTGCATGGCACTAGTCCCAAATAGGAAATAGATGCTGTTTTCGAAAACTCTGCAGAAATGAAGGAATCTAGCTATTCTGGGTCAAATTTCTTGATAAATTGCATGAGAATTGTGAAGAAATTGAGTAGTTTGCATTGTATCAGTCATTTATGGAGCTCCCCGACGCTTCCTGAGGCGGTCGGGCCAGGAATCCTCGCGCTGGGCCGTACATGAAGCTATTCCCATGCTCGGCGAAGCAGGATTGCTCGCTGGCGATGCCGTATGAGCTTCCTGGGCCGTGTATGAAGCTATTCCCACCCTGTTATCTCCCTGCGATGCCTGTTGTGTCCCTCCACGTCCTCGGCCACGTCCTCGGCCGCGTCCACGGCCCCGACCACCTTCCTGAGAAGCTTGTTGAGCTTCCTGGGCCGTAGATGAAGCTATTCCTAACCTGTTGTCTCCCTGCGATGCCTGTTGTGTCCCTCCACGTCCTCTGCCACGTCCTCGGCCGCGTCCACGGCCCCGTCTGCCTTCCTGAGATAGCATGAGCTCGAAGCCGGAGGGGTCTCGCTGGGTAGAGATGTCTTCGGTGCTTGCTTGGGTGCTTGCTTGGGTGCTTCCGCCGCCGCCGATGAAGTTCCTAGCGCCTCGGGGGCGCCCTCGCCGGCGCACTTGGAGAGGATCCTGGAGTAGAAGTAGCGGGTTAATAGGAGGTGCAAATACACTGTACAAATGCTAGTGTTGATGAAATAACTCAGGCTCAAAGCTCTTCTCCTCTTCTTCGTACTGTATGATGAGATGAATGCATGGAAACCCTGCCGTATTCAGCGAATTACAGCGACAAAATGGAGGAATTGGCGGCTTCTCATCGCTTGCTAGGAGATAGCGCTTGTAGACGTCTTTGGTATGCTCTATCGCCTTAGCCGAAATTCGTCCAACAACCAGCCTAAATAGCTGCTTCCAGCGAGTATCGGTAGACCTCCTGATCTTATCATTCTCGATCGTATCGGTGACCTTCTTGAATTGAAGCTTTACAGCATTCTCAAAGGTGCGGAGAACAACTAGTAGATTATTTGTTGAGACTTGAAGGTCCTGCTTAAGCAGCCAGTGAGCTCCTTCGGTCCGAGATGTCGAGATTTCATTAAGATGAAGGTATTCGGACGTGTATTCATGAAGGAAATACTCGGGGCAGTCGTCTAGCCATTCACTCCGTAGGTAATCGAGTAAAGGCGCAAAAATCGGCTCTTTATAGCATTCTTGAAGCTGTTTCCATCTCTCCTGTCTCTCTTCCGTAGTGATTGCGTAGACAACACGTATCCACCGCTTCAGCATCATCTTCCACGCTTTATCGACCATTTCTCGAAGCTCTCGGTCTCTATCTGCCTTCGTCCGATCGTGTGAAGAAGCCGAGGAAGGATTCACTAGATCTTCAGTCTCCTACCGAGCTTTTGCGAGCTGCTCAGCGAGAATCGGACGAGCTTTCTTCATGATATTCATGTTGATATGCCAGAGACAAATCATATGTTTTGTATCAGGAAAAATGAGCTTGATAGCCTTCATTAGCGCTTCTTCTTTATCGGTTAGGATCGTCCGAGGTAGATCGACGGTAAGGGACTCGAATGCTTCAGCAAGACAGCTGAGTATCACTTCGTAGCTATCCTGCTTCTCATCCTTCATGAAGGCGAAGCTAACGTAAAAGCTTGATCCAGTAGCAGCAAAGCCAATGATATCGAGCAAGGGAAGGCCGTATCTATTAGTTTTGTATATAGAATCTATTGAAATAACCCATGAATTGGTCCTAAGCATCGCAATACTCGATTTATGCATACAAAATAAGGCAGTGACGTGATTCTCATCATCTACCTCATGCTTGAAGATCCATTCGCCATCGCGCGGAAGCTCTATCAAGAGAGCTTGAAGCGGCGTACGGCCAGCAAGGAATTCAATATGAAGCTTCCTCCGAAGGTTGTAGACGTCTCGGGCCGTAAGACATGAATCCTGATCCTCCTTTCGAATGCTAGTGAGGATATGACGCGTAGAAACGCCCTACGCAAGCTGCTTCTCAATTTCAGGCGCTTTTTTAGAGAGCTCATGCTGCCGGTGAGCGATATGAGTAGACGTAGGCGAGGGCTCATGATTATGGTGCTGGTTCTCCACGGTGAGCTTCCATTGGCTTTCTTAAAGCCGTAGAGATATCCCAAAAGGGCAATCAATTGCTATTGAAGTAGTCTGTCGCTTTCGCTTAGGGCCATCATCAGGCCGCGCTCGAAGAGTACGACCTCGGTCACAGCATAGACGGACTGTCTTTTTCACCCCTTCTTGGTGAGCTTTGAGCGGAGTATAGAGACTGCATAGCCATGCTGGCGGGCGAAAGCGTTGATCGCGGCGATTCCTTGCTCAGGCGTATCGTACTGCGGATCGAGAGGGGGTAGCGGGAAGGTATAGAGGCTTGGTATCGGCGGCGAGGGCTCGGGAATAGCGTCATGGAGGCTTGGCGGCGCGTCATAAAGGCTTGGCAGCGTCGGCGGGGACTCGGGAATAGCTTCAGGCTCAGGATCAGACGGCGAGCTGAGATGTAAGGAAGCCATCATAAAATGCGCGAGAAATGGGTGTCAAAACATGCGAGATTTAGAGATGTAAACATCAATTATTTTCCTTCAGTACGAAGCTACATGGGTGACTTATTTTTACTAGGGGTTTACATAGTAATCGTAGGTACCTATTGTGTAGCATTACTTGACGGTTGATGCTGCTAGAGAATATAGTGCGGCGGCACGAAATCGGCGAGAAAGGCGGTGAATAAATTCAGGCAGGGGGGTGTTAGCATCCAAAGGGGGGTGTCTGTATCAGTCCCCTATCTTTAAACTAGCCGACTAATTAGCTAGTCTTTTCGTAAAATACGCTTAAACCTAAAGTCTACCTTAATATTAATAAGTAGTAGTAGTTAAAGGGTAAGGTAGACTAACATAGATAAAATATATTTCTCCCCTATTCACTTACTTCTATTTACTTATTAGTCGGTAACGGTTAAGAGGCAGATCGTTGCATTCTAAGCATAGCGATATAAGGCAAGTAACCAGAAACCATCGAACATAACGACGACCGGTTAGATGTGCGTCACAGGTATCCCGTGCACGAAGGTAAACCCTTCCGCCTACTACGTTCATTTTAGGGCACCTCTAACTCGTGATAAACAAATTCCGTTTAGTAGTAGCTCAATATGTCTATAATATCATTGTGTCAACATCCCTTGCATAGAGTAAGAATTTGAGGATAACAACAGTCAACACCATCTTTCGCATCCAACCCACATTCAACTACCCCTCAAACCTTAGGCTGTGATTTCTGCTGTAGTTTGAATTTCTGTAGCACTCCTTGGCAGGGAGGCCCTTTGCAGACCGTCACTATACGCTCCGACAGGTTGTAGACGACGAAAGCCACCGTCATGTTCTGCTTAGATGTATACCCAGTGAGGACGGCACTGGGCGTGTTCTTTTGGTTCAGGTTTGGGTGGTTGCACAGACTTTCAGGATATGCCATATGATCTGAGAAGGCTGCCCTGATCTTTTCAGAGGTCAATCGCCCTACAGCACAGTCTGCTCTTACGCCCTTTTCAGCCTGCAAACATCTGAACCAGCTGCTCCCGCCGGGATAGCGGTCAAAAACATGGTCGCGACTGAGAAATTCGGGGCTGAGGAAGTGATTGCTGTGGACAAGATAGTGGTCGTCAATATTTCCGTAGAACTTGTAGATGCGGCTGGGTGCGACCTCCATGGCCATTGCGAATCCGTCGGCTGTCGAGACGTGCAGGTTCCCCGAGACATGACGGGGAAAGGCATTGACAGCTACTAAGCCATCGGCGTAGTTGCTGTAGTCAAGAAAGAGGCGTCTCGCCACAGAGAGGGGCAGAACTGGCTTGGGGCTCTTGACCTCGTGGTAGACTCCATCCTGGTCGATGTGGGAGACGGGTACGTAGTCCTCGCTCGACAACAACGAGTTTGCAGTAACCGACATGCCAGCAGAGTTCATTCCGCTGCGAATCAGTTGACCAGCTTCCGTGAGGATAAACATTGACGGCCGATCTTCGGACGGTTCTGGGTGCACCTCGAGATAGATGATGAGGTCCTGTTTGTAGAGATGGCTGGACATGTCCCAGTTGTGCACGGCCAAAGCGTGGCCAGATGCAACTGCTTTCGGGGGAAAGAAGCCGCTCGTGCACTCGTCATGCCCGTCAAGTTCCTGTGGAATGTTCCCGCCCTCTTGAAGTCGATACATGCATCTGCCCAAGTCATATCGAGCGTTAAGCATGATAACGTCCTCGACCTTCACGCCAGCGCCATCGGCAATCCCTCTGATCTCTTCGAGTCCAGCGGGATAGAACTTTTGAAAGGCTGGGAAATAAACGGTTTCGATGATCTTAGAAGAAATGGACCTGCACGATGAATGTGAGTTCGATGAATGCGTGTCTGTCACTCCCACCCAGTTGTGCCGTGTTCTGCTTACCAATGCGGTAGTTTCCCAGGAAGCTTATAATACTCAATGTTGGCGCGAACCTTCTCGCTCACCTGTATTCCATGCGACAAGCCTCTCTCGTAGGGCGTGCCCTCGACGACAATGTGCTGGTAGCACGACGGACCAGGGACCTCAATGACGGGGGTTTCCAACGATGGCATGTTGTAAAGGTGTCAGCGGCAAGATAGGAATATTGGAGAATGATGGAATTTAATTCTCGATCATGTATCGGCACACATACGGTGTAGAGCATTGGCCCGGCCTAAGGGGTAGTTATCAATTTAAGTTGTGTCGCTTGGCACGTCGCCCGATTGTCCCAAAGGGTGCAAACCAGCGACGGACCGACCACCAACCAGGGCATCTCGCTCGCGGCGAAGGACGTATTACGTGGTCAAGATAGCGTTGCTAGGACTAGGTTCGTCATATGACAAAATCATCGCCCATGTCTTGGGCAATCCGGCGAAAATCGGCACGACAGCCCGTCGCCTCCTCGGCGGCATGCACATTTTCGACGAAGGTGCACGCATTCACAAAATGCTTTCCCGCACGGCAGTACTCCTTTATCTGTTGTAGCGTCCACTCTCTGTAAATCGGGTCTTTTGCCTCGATCGCAGCCATGATCAGTGGCACCGGCCATATCTTGGTAGGCGGCGCTTCCGTTCTCGGCCGCTTCAGTTTCCGATAAAAGTGGCGAGTGATGGTGATAATCTTTTCCGCGTGGATGCTCTTTGCATACAATATTTCATTGGGTTGATATACTCTCGACGCGTATATCTCTACCGCGTGAAAGAGGGCGTTTGTGGTGAGGTAGATGGACAGCACCTTGTTTTCCGCAGCTTTCGCCTCACTGAAACTGTCGAGACCCTGCGCCAGTCAGTCAATGCCCACCCCTCTCTTCTCATCATGGTTTTGACTCACCAGTCTAATGTCGTACAATGACTCCCGGACACCAACTTCAAGACTCTCGTCTGGAGAGTGGCCATGGCTCCTAGATACTTTCCCCAGCAGACCGACCAAGCGGCACGTAGCGACGTACAGAGGTCTGTGAGCCTCGTCCCACTGCCGTTCTTCCCTGGGGTACAACAGGGTGTATTCTCTCTGTAGAAAGTCATGAGACTGCTCCAACGCTATCACCAGCCCCGAGTCATCCCCCATGGACTGAATTATGCGATCATTCCCCTGGCAAAAGAGGGCAGTGCGTGCGTCGAGAAAGCAGAACCATACAGCCATTCTGACGTAGATTGAATGCAATTGATCATGGCCCCGGATACCCAGCAGTAAAGCTTCGAGGCTGAGCATCTGCTTTAAAGATGCCTGTCTTGAAAGTAGGAGGTCAGTCCAGGCCAGGAAGTACAGAGTCACGGAGACAGCATCCAGGTCATCATCTTTGGCTAGAAGCTGGAACCAGGTCTGGCTAGCCTCTTCAGTTACGTTCTCAGCCAACAGGTGGATCCCGAGCTGGTCTCTGAGGCCCGCAAGACTCTTGCCGTAATGCTCCAAAGCGTCCACTTCGGAACCTAGTGCCCCGTAGCAATGGAGGTGGGCAGCCGTCCATGCGTACAGAGATGATATCACAAATGGATGACTCGAACTGAAGCGATTGAAGAAGTAGGTGTGATTGTTCCAACCCCGCTCCTTTGAGCTGTATTTCGATGTTAGGTTCTGGGTATAGTGCTGTGCCAGAACGCGATCGGAAACCGCCGAGAGGGAGGCAGAGCTCGGACTTTGACGGTCTGAGTTTGGCAGGTTGAACCCAGCGGATCCTTGACCCAATGTATTGGCAGACAGGCCACAATTTTGGGTGGGGAAGTCACTGGCACTGACGGCTAAGTCTGGAGTAAAGTCCCATTGCTGGTCCAGATAAGAGTCGAATATGCCGTCCATCCAGGGCAATCCCTCCGTGTCGCGGATTGGAAGTGATGTTGATTCCAATGGTTCCGAATCGTGTCCTTGAGAGCATGTCTCAGCCTGCTGGCTCAATCGTCGAGGACTTGGCTGCCCAGGCGTATTTGCGTCTTTGGAAGTCATTCTCTTCTTCCTACGACGGCCTGGATGTGTTTTGATATGCTCTGTCTCATCTATGAACTCAAACACAGCGAGCGCTGACGAGTTGTAGGTGCATCTGAGGTGTGAGCGTCGGCACGGTGAGCAGCGCGGCTTCAGCATATCACAACCAAGCTTCCTTCTTGTGCATGTACTGCATGGGGGCATAGTGAGTCGCTTCACAGTCAGGACGAGGTGAAGATGGGAAACGGTAGGGAGCAGATGACAGCCCGATGCTTCGTGCTTGATGAGTCCCGAGGAAGTCGTAAGGCGGAACCCAGAGAAGTGGGCCATATGGGTCCGCCAATGGAATGGATAGTAGGTCTGAATCGGTATTAGTGCCAACTAACGTATTTCTAGCCACCGCCTGCCTACCTTCTCTGAATCCTCGCGAAAACACGGTGAACAGGAGGGTAGTATCCTACTAGCTATTAGAGATAATAAAAATGTCAAATTGAAATCTCTTTGTCAGGCCGCAGTGCGACACGCCATAACCCGCTCGGCCCTACAGTGTCTGCAGCTAGCCGAATAGTTTTGTTGAGACACACGTGCAAACAGCCATAAATTAACAGATAATAAACAGACTGCGCTCAGCCATTAGACATAAGACATAGATCCATGCGGTGCAGCGCCTAGGACTAGTCTTGTGCGTTTAAGTGGCTAGTATTCTACTAACCGACCGCGTCCAACAGTCTACCAAATAGCGGCATATGAAATCAATGAAACGAACTAATTTTTTCCTTTTTTTTTTTTAAAAAAAAAAAATAAAGAAACAATAAAAGCCTCAAGAAATAGACTATACATCCATTTTCACTAAATGAAAAACAAAATCTTCCGTCCCTAGGCCAAAATGACGAAGCATGTGAACGAACCAGCCCTTGAAGGCTTCTAGTCTCAATTTGCACGACTGTCAACTCCACAGAGCTATGTCTGCTGTTCCCGCTGAAGCTTACCAAATATACCTGAACGAGGGTTGCTGGCAATCAGTCAAGTCCAAATCATCCTCGGCAGTATGCACACTGCGGTTGTCCTCTGCCTGAAGTCGGTCCCGACGACAGTTTTGATACTTGACATAGATGCTAAGAGAAAAAATGGTCAACAGCTGGGAGAAAACGAAACGGCCAGGCACTGCTCCACTTACATCAGTACAATCTCCAAGGTAATCATCACGGATACGGAGGAATAAAAGGCTCTAAAAGCCCTCTGGAACTGCGGGGCCTCGGTGCTGATGAAGAACTGGGGTCCAGTAAATTGACCGAGGCAATACCCCAGAAACATCATGACCTGTGAGAAATGATCAGAACCGGGCTCAGTCATGCTTAAACGATATACCTTCTTACACTTGCGGTGGACTTTTTGGTAAAGCCTGCAACATTAGAGGAAAGTATGCTCATGCCCAGGCCGAATGGGACCGTGTTGACATAGATGACTATGGGCTTGTTAGGTGCAATTTGAGACCGTCACCGAGGAAAGCAGATACTCACTGTAGAAAGACGCAAGTCGACTGCTGTGGTTAGATTCCGGAAGGTCTAGCACAGTCAGAACCTTCCTTGCAATTTTCAGTCCTTGATGGTGGGTAACACTCACTGCCCACCAACACCGCGCCAATCAAGACGATAATGTTCGTGGCGATCATGACGTAGCACCTGGTATTCTTGAAACGGCTACAGAAGCAGCCACTGGAAATAGTTAGCAAGGCTGAGCGAAGGACTTGGCAGGAATGTCAGTTCCTACGCAAGGACCACCGAAAAAAAGTGGATGGCGTTAGATGGCATGCCCATTAAAGTAGCCTGGCGGCTGGAGTAGCCAAGAGTCTCCGTTAAAACAATTTTGGAGAACTACGATACCGTCAGAATGTCATTTTTACTGAGCATCGCGGATCACTCACCGCTGTTAGACCTCCTCCCTGCAAGGATTGAAGGAAGGCATGTATGGCTAATATCCACGGCTGGGGATCAATCAAGCATTCTCGGACCTGGCACCATTTGTAGTCGGTGTTTATGATGCTGGTATGATTTTTCATGGCCTATCATCTGATAAGTAACTGCCGCTTCCATCTAAACGTGGGGTTCTGACTTGGGCTGTGGCGATCTTTCTTTCCCTCTTGTTGAGGAACCACGCTGTCATAGGCGACGATGGCACGGCAAAAAAGATGATAACTCCCCAAAATAGAGTCAATGGCCCAAAGACGAGATAAATAATCTGCCAGATTGCGTATTTGGAAACCGAATGTTCTTTTCCTGAAACTCCGTAGGTGATGGCATCCGCGATGAAGGCACCGACAGCACTGGACGACCACCACAAGGACGTTCGAAGCGGTTGCTCTTCTCGGCTCCAGTATTGAGAAATGAGAATTGTCAGAATAGGTGACATGCATGATTCGAAGACTCCAAGGAAGACACGGTTGACACAAAGCGTCGCAAACCCTTTCGTGAATGCCGTTGTGGTTGCAGCGAGACCCCAGAGAAATATCATGACACCAAAGTATCGTCCTCTGTAGCGAATTAGACCATGATTTGACCTAGCTGCGTGAAAGAGGAAGCTCACATGGGAAGCTTCTGCATTAAGAGTGAGCTAGGATACTGCCAGACCAGATATCCTAGAAAGAAGATGGAGGATGACCAGCTATATTGCTGCCCAACGAGATTCTATTTAGAATTAGATGTAGTCAATCCAAGCGCTTATCACGCTTTACATGCAGCTCACCAGGTCTTTGTTGATGCCGAATATGGAGGCTTCGGATAAGGCAACCTTGTCCATATAGTTGAGTATATACGTGCATGCCATCTATTTTTCTTGCCGTCAGTTGGGCATTTTCGAGCTCGATTGGGGAATCGTAAGCATCCGTACCAAAGGAAGGAGGATTAGATCGAGCTTCCATCGGACCCGCGCACTCTCGTTGGAGCTGTACACCAAGTCGAATGGAGGGGAGCCCAGGTCTTCAGTATGTTTCTCGGCATCGTCAACGTCGGCGATGGGCTTGCGGTCACCTCCAGTAACATAAACGCAATCGACCACCTCTTCAGTTGACTTGTTGTGCATAGTGGTCACCGGCTTGGACGCGCTATCCATCGTGGTGTTTCTGGTCGAGTGGTGTGTTGAGAGATGCGCCATGCAAGGTCATTTGTAGTCGCATGCGACTCGATGCTAATTATAACTTGAAGACTGCTGCACATCTCGGATATCAGATGCATGTCTCAAGCTGGGGAGAGGATCATTTGGCAGAGAAGCGGGGATGGTCGAGTTTCGCTCAACTGGCTCAGAAAGGCATAGATAACATAGATAGCGTTATCGGCTAGCTCCACTAACCGTTTTCGGACGATTGCGCGAGTAACAAGATAGCCGCATGCACGCGTATCTAAGCTTTTTACACTGTCCACTGCTCTGGTGGCTTCTTTGTGAGGAGTGGTTCCAAAAGGCTTGCAGAGGAACGGTGTTCATCGGCTCTACAAGGCATCCACAAGGGGTTGATGCTTGTCTGTGATTTGAGACTGAACTGAGGTAGCATCTGGTACTCTGAGAATATTTTGCAGGACATTATAGTCCAACAGAGCCCATTAGGCTGTTAATTACGATGAGCCACATAGATGAGACTTGCGGCTGACTGTATCAGTACGTCTCTGTGCACGTCCAAGCGAAAGTTGATGATGGCCTGGGCCCTCTGTCAAAAATTGAGGTATTTGCGCAACACGGCGATCAAGGTTACATTGATTACGACGATGGTGTGGGTAAGGCGGCTTATGTGATGGCCATTTGCTCTTCGTCGCCTAAACCACCAAAATGTCCGGACGGGGCGATCCTTGATGGTCTTCTGATTGAGGGCCAATTATGGACGGGCTGACTCGACTCGACACCGCTACCGATATAATTGAGAGCCCGCCCAGATGATAAATTACCTTTAGTTGACCACTTATTACTACGCAATCAGCACCTCTCTCATTCGTGTCGCCTATCATTCCTTTGCTTCAAATACACACATACAATGCCTGAACAGTATGTCGTCCTCGGAGCCGGAGTCGTTGGACTTTCCACGGCCCTAGAACTGAAACGTCGAGTTCCGGCAGCCCACGTCATCATCGCAGCGAAACATTTCCCCGGGGATCGGAGCGTCGACTACTGCTCACCATGGGCTGGAGCGAATTGGATGTCAACTGCTACTGACAATGGAGTCCAGGAAGAGTGGGATGCCGAAACCTACCGCCGCTTTGGTGTCCTTGCCGACACTGTCCCCGAGGCAGCTATCACACGGATGGATCTCAAAGCTATCTTTGACCGCCCAATAGAGCAGGCAGAAGTGCTCAGTCAAGTCACTGGCAAGATTTGGTATGATAAAATCACAGGTGGCATTCGCCCTGTACCACGGGATAGTCTCCCAGAAGGTGCTTGCTTCGGGTTGATCATGTCTACTTTCAGTGTCAATACACAAGGATATCTCGCTTGGTATGTCTTTCCCCCTTCAGCTCAGCAGTTTGGCTTATTACATTCTTCAGGCTGTCTACCCAGTGCCTTCAAGCTGGCATCGAAATGCGGAGGGCTCATTTCGACGACATCCGTCGCGCTTTCCGGGACATTCCCTCGGATGCATATTTCAACTGCACTGGGCTGGGATCTTATCACCTCAAAGGAGTTGAAGACAAGACTGTCTACCCAACTAGGGTAAGTGAATTTATGCTACCTGGGTTATCCTAGCTAATAACGGTTCAGGGCCAGGTGATCCTCGTGGAGACACCCAAAACGCCCATGAAAGCCATGTACTTTCGCTCTCCGAGGCGAGTGGACAATGACACCACGTATGTGTTCCCTCGCTACCCTACCGGTGGTGTCGTTCTGGGTGGGTGCCGCCTGGATAATGACTGGAGCGGTGAGGTGGATGAGACCCTCGCAGACGACATCATGCGACGCTGCTGTGCACTGGCCCCAGAGCTCGGGAAGCCTGAAGATCTCAAGGTCATATATCATGCCGTCGGTCTGAGGCGTAAGTCTTGGTTCACTTGATTACCTCCCATAATTGACTGACTTGGTGCAGCAAGCAGAATAGAGGGGCCTAGAGTCGATTCGGAAACTATCGATGGTAGTTTGGTCATCCATAACTATGGCGCTGGCGGGACAGGCTACCAGTCATCATGGTGAGTAATGAAAGATTATTCTTGGTATGGTGAGCTAACAAGTTTCGAGGGGAACTGCAAAGTATGCTGTGGATCATCTTCTAGACAGCAAGAAATCAAATTTGTAACAGAAGGCAAGAGTCCATATACGATTTCTTGACCTCGGCTTGCGACAACCACAACCATGTAGACGTAAATTATATATTCTACTTATAGTTTGGCATCCTAGCATTCCGAATCTTCAATCCGCTTTCTCTTAAATAGAATAGCTATAGAGTTATGGTCGGTTAAACATGATGATTTTCTAACGTAATTCACAAGCGAGCGGCCCACCCAAGCGAGCGGCCCAGCTAACCTAACCTATCAATTCTAAATGTAATTATCTCAACCAAAACGCCATTAAATTCAATAAGCTAAAAACTAGTTCTATTAGGACATGTAGTCAATTTATGACCCTGAATTCCATATATACTGCACTTCGGTAAGGCTCTCTTACGTGGCTGTGAAGGTGCTGGACCCGATTCTGTCTCACGGGGTATTTGTGCTAAAACCGCTTGCTCTGGCTACGCTACTATGGTAGAGGCCTCTAAAACTGAGAGGCCTTCTTCGGAAGCTATTTGCTTTTTAGACCGAGTCCTTTTTCGCTTCTTCGTCTCGTTTTTAGCGCGTAATTCGCTTACTTCTTTCTCGAGAATAGCTGCCGATTGTATTGTGATTTGATAGGCCTTTAAAACCTGATTTATCGCGGAGTTAAGCGGGCTTAGTAGGCTTTCTGAACGCGCTTTTAGCAAAGCTTTAATTAAGGAAGCTTGCTTTTGTAATTAGATATAGTTCGAAGGCGTTTTGTAACGGAATCCTCAGACGCCATGCACAGATCTCTCGCACTCCCAGAGGATCGACACCATATAGGTGTCGACACGTCAGTGTTGGCTCACCGTAACGCTGATCCCCCATGTTAAATAATCTGCTCCGGAGAACCCAGCGGTTCTCCAAGAATCAGTCTCTGTATTCATCCAATATATTGTTCGCTTCCAGGCATCTTCGTCTTACCTAGTTGACAGGCCCTATCCTGTAAACACTAGAACCCTACTTCCTTACAAATGTGTCGATGGCCTAGGAATCGAATCTATCTCTACGTACCCGTATCTTACCCCTAGCGCCATAAGAACAAATCACAACCTATCACGCACTTCGAAATTCATAGGCAACCTAGAATCTAACGTAGCATTTGTCGACTTCGCCGCCTACCGTAGTAGCCAATCTGTTCGCTAATACGTGGTCACCGCGATAGATAGTCAAATATGCAGCTAATTATAGCAGTGGTCTAGAATGATATCCCTTTATATAGGCCACTAATCGGCTATATACGGCGCATACTACGTGTGAATATATTCTTCGACGTACCGACTATTTCAAGGAAGTGTTCTATGCCAGCCACGCAGCTGTATAGGTAAGGAGCCCACGGCGATAGTATATAAAGCTAGCGAGGGAACGCCGTAGTGGATTGCCTAACACCACCACAATCCGAAGCATTTTCTACCTTTGACGACCACCTTAATAACTACTATGCTGCCTTAGAATCTATTTCTTATTTATAAGATAGAGGTCAGCCCTAATAGCGGTCCTAGCTCTTGTTACGGGACGACGAAAAAAGGCGAGCCGTGCAAAAACTCGATCAAAGTTAAAGACACTAAGATCGGCTATCAAAAGTTAACCACTCTCGCTAGAGAGCTATTTGACTTATCATCGTTATAGTCGAAGCTCTATAACGTCGCTAGAGACTTCCTCTACGCGAGATAGCACCGGCAACGGTAGGCCGACTAAGTTAGCTAGTAGTGGTATAAAGCCGCCGTCCGTAACTAGGCGCGAGTGCTATATAGCTCTAGAATAGCTTCTCCGTTAGTTATTGTATATCGGAGCTAGCGTTAAACATCGTTAGCCTCTAGGCGACGCCCTATATCAGATAACACCCGGTTATCACTACCACTAGTGCCCCTATTAACTAACCCCGAGCTAGTGTAGCTATTCAATCTATTTGTGACTTCTGTAACGCTACGGACGAACAATATTCTATAGCGCCTTTCGCCGACCCGACTAGCCATCCTATTATCGGCAACTAATATCCGGGCGGGTGTCTAAGACTTAACGCTATAGAGTCTTAGGCCGAGCTAAGCGGTCGATAGTATCCACGTCGACAGTATCTTTTATGTGTTCTACTAGACTAAGGATAAAGACTATACGGACGAGAGCGTGATCTTGCACTACGGTTAGTGCATATCGCTCTGTTATCTGTTATACGCCGAAGAATAGTTAGAAAAGCGAGATATAGGGTTTGGCACGTTATGCTATGTGTGGTAAGTGTGGATAACCTTATTTCTGAGACGACCAAGATACTAATGACCGCAGCCGAAACGAAGGAGCCCTAGATGCCATCGTTCGCCCCTTACGAGTCCCCTCGTCGGATGCCGAGACATATTCCGTCCACACGGCAAGCGATCCATCTCCCACTGGTGGGCCCCGTCGCTCAGCCAGACTAGCAGGGCCTCATCTACCGGGAGACCCGTCCACCTCTGCATCGCTTCGCCGGTCGGCACGACTCTCCACTCTGCGTGGGTGATCGTAGGGTGCAGGCGAAGTAAGATGGAAATAGAACAAGCGACCGCCAATCACACGTGAGTGTATGTGACCGACACTCGGCATCGTAATCAGCAACTGTGGCCATAGCATGGATATGGATTTTTGAAGCAAGCCTAGCAAGAAATGAAATCCTGATTGTTTAGACTTCAGATTACAAGGCGACCGTTCATCTTTGCAAGTGCTAGACACCACTAGACGTTAGTCAAAATTTACTGGCTGCGTCGCTCAATTCGAATCTGACATAGTTCCCTTACTAGCATTGACAAAAAGACGGGAGATTGTTGACAGAAAACGCAACTCGTGGGGCTGGAGCAACTGACAGATCTCTGT